GTAGCCGTGATTCAATTAAAGACATTACCGATAGGTGACCACTCTTCAGATACAGTCTGAATTTAGAGCTTTCAATGCGGAAGTAGGGCGCCTCAATCCTTCGGATGCCTGACGTTGCGGCATGTTTGGGTTAGACCCTAGTCCTAATGATGATTGTGAACGTCTCTCACAACTCTGTACTCACCAGCAGTTGTTCCTCAGTAGTATTGAGTTTGGATGCGGTGTCGTGCTATTCACGATTTCTCTACCTTTAGGTAACCATGGAGCCAAATCAATCACACAGCCGTTAGATACCAGTGACTAGACTCTACTCGACCTCCAATCATTTTGAAATCCAAGAAACTAATTTACCATTTGACAGTCAAAAAGCCTTGTTAAGTTCGAATTAAACAGTTAATCGTAACTGCGATGACATAAGAACCGTTATACATGGTGCTTGAAACTCGGCGCTTAGTGTTTTTGAGCACACATCAACCAAAAGATCTCAGGACTGTGGCTGTCACTTCTTGATGCAGGAACGGACCGTAGAGTAACTCGACTGGGCAGTCCTTTAGACGTCAAATTAGAAGCTTACATATAGAGTGGAATATATGGTAGAGCCGAGAAGCTCAACGGAGGGGACTAGTGCGGCAGAGAATGAACAGAAGCTGTTTTAATTACAAGAGGAGTAGTTGCTCAGGGTACTTTTACGAACACTGGTTGGCCACTGGTTTGTCTTCAAGTCGATCTACTCAACTTTAGTCGTCGTCTTTGAGCTTAGGTTTATGGTCTGCTAATAGGCCTCCTGCCTTGTAGTATATCCAAGGTTATTTGGTCTCTCTTGAGTCACAAGCTCTAAAGCTGTACAGAGTTTTCTCGATGAGGTCTGATGTGTTTTGTTGATGGAGTCGTAAAGTTTAGAAAGTCCAGCTTTCCAAGTCCTTTGGTTTGCAATAATGGATTAGCCAGCTGTGAGGAAACCAGATTCACTTGCTCCATTATTTGAGACTCAGGGTATAGAGTGATTATCAAAGCACTAGGAAAACGTATTGTCTCAAAGTGATGGAACTGTGTGTCGTGTTTGCGGGTAGTTCATTCTCATGGTCCACTTAAGTGGGGATTTTGTAACAGTCCAGCGTTTACATCATCCGCATATGGAAGGGACGGAGATAATTTACGACTGGCTAAGAGAGTCAGGGCTCATATTGGAACCTATGTGATCCCGCGAACTCTGAGTTGGCTGTGGATGTTCTCCATCCGGTTAGATATGGTGAGAAGCCACGCTTGCCCCGGTCCTCCTATGTTTTGCGCAATAGCGCTGTCGGACCACAAAATTGTCATAATGACACACTAGCCTAGGAACTAAAAAACCCGGAATTTCATCCTCAGGTGGTCTGCTGTTGGCCACTGATCTTTTTCGACGGCGAGAACCGGGTGCCAAAGTACCTAGAGTGTTTGGGATTGGGCAGGATTTACTGCCTCTGAATCTATCCGCAATTATATGAAGGTTGGGCTAGGTTTGAACAATCTACTTGTTTGGCATAAGCAGTTGTGGAAAAATGATGACAGTGGGTATCACTCTAGTTAGCTGGTGCCTTATAAAACGCTGCATATGTCTGATGGCGGCATCGTCAAAAGGTAGTCAAGTAGACTGACTGACCGTGATAGCTCAAAGACAGAAGACGTCCACTGCTTCGCTTTAGTTGAAGTATCATATCTAAGGCAAATCGTTTTTTTCCGAGTGGATGGCAAAGATGACACATGGGGTTGCATTCAGCTCAATACTGGATGTGGAATTGGGTCAGGTCAATATGGCACATGCGGGCATATCTAATGGTAGGATGTACTGAGCATCCTGATTAATTTGGTCCGAACTTTCGGCTTCTGGTCCCCAGAAAGACGCGAACTCTACAGTTTTCCCCTTGCTTTATGGATCAGATCCTTTATTTGAAGGCAGAGACCTTAACTTCACTTTTCCAAGGAACACGGCAAATGATATGTGCTTTGCCGTTGCAACTGAATGGAATGGCAAATAAACGAAGAATTCGACGTTTCCGCATCCCTACTCAATTTTCTGGGATGCACATGGCCAGTTTTCTAAATTGACTACATTTTTTTGCTGTATGATACCATCAGACTCACCCGAGCTACTATTTTAGGCCCTCCACCTGGACCTTATTTATATTAACATTCGTGCAGCATACACTACAATAGTTGGTGGTTCTGTATCACAAACTGGATCGTTTAAAATTACTGTTACAGCAATAATACCTAATAGCAAACCGATACACAATGTATCGCTCAAGTATGATTGTATTCACCTGTTCAGACGTGGCCATTCAGATATGATCTTTATGTGCTACTGGAGTGACAGTGACTTCAAAAATATTCAATGCTGGTAGGCTTTTTTAAGAGAATACATATTACGATTGCCTACATGTTGTTAGTCCTGTCATCCGTATTGTCTTAGGGTGCAATTGGCGCTCTAACCATAGTCACCCTGCCGCGGCCATTGCGTATCTTGTTCTTCCATACTCCAACCAAGCTTCCAGGCAACATTATGTACCAAATTAATGCTATCCTCTCCAACCTGTTGCCGTCCCATCCCGATCTCTTCCGTACCCCCCGCAGAAAAAAACTGTGGCGGTCATCATGTTCTGTACGTTATCTTGTAGCGTGTAGCTACAGCTGTCCCCATTTGGTGAAACCTGCAAGAGTCAGCCAACCGCAGACTCCTTTAAACGGCAGTATCCTCAGCTAGGAACAGTGTGCAAGCTATACACAAATCTGTTTCTCTGAGGAGTAGTTGGTTGGGATGAGAGGACTGGATTGGAGACAGCAGTTCGGAACGCCGAGATATGAATCCATTTATGACCGTGTGAAAGTTGGAACATGTTAGTGTGGAGCTTGCCGAAATTTCGAGCCGTATGAACTGAAGATAGCAACCCAGATACCGAAACGCCACTAGTGACCGAGCTCGTTGGTTATGACTTTCATGGCTTCTGCAACTGTGTTACGACCCGAACCCCCGGGGCGAAGCCGCAGTAGTTTTCGCGCAGCTTTGGCCCACCGCTTTTTGAAGATTATTATGGGGACTCCGCTCTAGGTAACAGAGGAGAAGTTAATGTAACCATCTTCAATGCAGTAGCGGTATTTACCAACTAGCATCAGCTATAAATGAATAATATGGCGAGGCACGAAAACGGCCAATTTGTCGTGAGATCAGGCGTCTTTGACTGCGAAACCTGGCTTCTCTGATTTGGAGACCTAAAATATCTTCAGACACTTGACCACTTATTTCTTTGAAACAGCGCACGTTGACGAACGTATCCGTTGGAGAATTCTAGGTGAAAAGTCGAGTCAGGTGGAGGAGCACCAGATAAAGCTTGTCAGATTAGGGTGGCTGGGGCATGCCCCACATATGCCTGTCATGTTTTTTCCTCCAAGCCCTTGTTGGCGGGAGGTTCATGGATGACAGGTCATGACGTGGCAGCGAGAAATGAAAGCGGTTACTCTCAGGTTCAACGCTGTCGCATCTTTGTACCTTCCTGGGAGGGGTCCACGTGGTTCTCCATACATGTGGAAATCCCGCCCCAAATTGCACGTAACCCGTCCCACCCGAGCTGGTTAACTAAAGCTCCTCTGTTGTTCTGTGCTGGGCCTCTGTTAGATATGGTTAGTAAAAGATGGTAAGTCAGACTGGCTGATGGCGGCGTACGCCAACGTTGTGCCCAGATGTGCTTATCTCAACAGTGAACAGTGCAAACACTTTGTCCGATTAGTCTTTATTCCCCTGTTATTTCATACTTTAGGGCTGTATTTGTACGACGGCTAGGGGACGCTGTTGGTGTATTTTTGTCGGTGATGTTAAGGATGGTTCCGTTTACCGTATCCTTCCTTCTGGTCGATATAGTCAGCTGATACAAGCTACAACCGTTTGTGGAAGCCAGTCTACCATGTAGAGACGCGGTACTTTCGGCTTGCGTGGTTTCGCCCCCAAGGCATTCTACTGACCTATTGGCACCTAGTATCTTACGTCAGGCTAAAAGTGACTACAGCCACCAAACTCTATATTGAGAAGCGATTTAATTGAAATTTCGTTTTTGAGCTCATATACGTGTCGGAACTGGAGACTCCATCAACCCCCTCGCATTTGCCTTTGCGAAAACACTCACTAGTTTTTCGCGTTTGCTACAGATGGTGCGGGACGATGGCTTAAAATCCATAGATACTCTAGTGTCGGTTTTGCTCGGTTTAGGACAAACTAGGTTGGCAGATTTTGAGTAATCAACCGACACTGCTTTTGGCCAGGAAACGAATCTGTGTTGCGCAATTTCGCAACGGAACCTCACAGCATCCTATGAACTACACGGAAGAGTACTACGTGGAGGAATATCAGAATGTGTTAGATTCCATCTATTCCCCAGAGTCAGCATGTAGTTCAACATTTATATAAGCTAAGAAATATCGGCAACACTACTTAACGCGCTTACATAAGGTCACTTCACTTACCAGTGCTCCCAGCTCGTCTCAGTAGTCCACAGTGAGTTCTCCTCACGGTACGGACGTAAAGAATCGTACAACTTGATTCTCTCCCCCGCTCCTTCCCTCTTCCCTATAACTGGTCTGACGCCTTACCTCACTTTAGCCAATCGGTATCCAGCTATCTTCTTATCCAATCCACATCAACAAGCTGCACTAACAGTCTACTTTCCACAGTTTCGTCAATTTACCCCAGTTTGTGGGCCTTTTGCCTGAGGTTGTTTGCCCCTCTAACCCGCGTCCTTGGGCGGCCTGTCTTGTTTGTTGCAGTCTGTCAAAGTCCGCCGACAGTTGCTATCTCTCATCAGTCTGTCACACCATTGATGTTTTATAGCACGACTCACAAACACACCTGCGCACATACGTCCCTTCTAGTTCACTTGCTCTTCTCGTTATCTCACATTGAGGTAGTGGCCAACACAAGTTTCGGTCATATTGATCGGTAAACAGTGCTCAATTAAAGATTCGGGATTATCCAGTTTGCAATGTCATCTAAGGAGGCCGCGTCGGGACAAACTGGACGTGATGAGGATCCGCAATCTCCCACCGTTATGTCGAACTCTAGTCAGGTGACATTGACTGAATTCGGTGGTAATGAAGCACCATACGTGGATAGTTCTGAGCATGGTACCTACACCAGCCGACTAATGCCCACCAGCAGTCAGATTGATAGTGATGGAGCTTCGAGCTACAAAAGTCGTGATAAGCGTCGTTCTAGCGTGAAGATCGATCGTCGTGTCTACGTGCAACAACACACGGCCTCCTTATCGTCAATATCCACGGAGCAGGACGACTGTGAGTGTCTCGTCGATGTCCCTTTTATTTCTTTCACCTATTCGGTTGCTTTCACTTAGTCTTCCTACGGCTCTTCTGTGTTAGAGTGTCGATAGAGTAAGCTGCAGTTTTGCGGACTTTGTTTATTTCTATCACATAGCGAGGAAATTCCAGGGTACCAACTAATGCTCCCTTCATACAGTTGTTGCCGGTATATACTGAAAATCCGTGTTCTACTGTTGTGGTTCATCACATCTGCACATTAAAAAACCCTAGTGGCCTTCGAATCCGCCATCCTCTCAATAGGAGTTTGAGCACTGCTATGCACTTTTCGTCCTTCAACCGATCAACCCACGTCACGTGATGCAGTGATTGTTAGCTCCTTGGGGACGTGCGGACCTCTTATGATTGCAGACAAGAATGAATGAATGCAGCGCTTCTCAGCTTTCCAGCTTTCCCTTCATCTAACCTTCCTGTGGGGAAGAAGGAAGCTTGACCGAGTGATTGATTGATAATAATAATAATTTAGGGCACTTTGACGTCGACAGTTTATAGGCAGATCTTTCAAGTAGCGACAAATGTAGAATCCGACAAATGCCGATAGTTAGGAAGGAAATTCAGATTTTAACCGATTATTTATAAACCTATGGGCGTCGAAAACTGGTTTGAACTGTGGAAGAGTTGTTCGAAAATTGCTCTTGCTTATTTTGTGCTGAGTACATCTCTATGTCAAAATGGAATTCTCGGCCTTCAATGCTTCTCCCAACATGCCTCTAACAGCTTCGATAGTGACCACATTTTGTGTGACCCTCAAAGACTGAGTTCCCATATTTCTAGTGGCTAACAAACGAGCTACTGGTTACAACACCACGCAAATCATTATCCCTTAATGCGTCTCCCGTTTGTTCAGTCAGTATTCCTAGAGAAGTTTTCTTCTACTTGGCTCATTTCTGGTAAGGAAACAGCTCCATCGTCTTCTTTCAACACCGGATTCATTTGTTTGGTGCTCCATGATGAAGCTTTTGTGTTAAAAGCCAAACGTTTCCCAAATAAAAACTACCGATTGTTTACGATGCTCTTCTGAAACGGTGCTCCATTCTCGAAGGAAAGTACTCACAAGGTTGCTGAAAACTCTTCGACAGCCCACGACCGGTTTCGCTCTTCTTGGGGCTCATCAGGTAGGCGCAGTCCCCGAGTTTCCATCAACCTTATGTTCTACTTGAACCCATTCTGTTTTGGCAGCCTACTCATTTTCCCAGGTAACCTTCCTGTCTGACAACGTACTCACAAGGTTGCCGAAAACTCACCGACAACCAACGACTGGTTTCGTCTTTCTTGGGGTTCATCGTGTGTGCGTAGTCCCAGAGTTTCCACCAACCTCATTTTCCACTTGGACACTAAGTTGTACCCACTTGACCACTCATTTGCAACTTGACGGGCATTAACCGGAGACTCAATTGGAGAACACCATAAACACCAACTTCTTTTGTAGTGCTTTGCCAATAACGTACAATTTGGGGTTTATACAGAACATAAGCCTGGTGGAAAATCGGGAATTGCACATGTCGTAGACTATGGTGCTTGACTACTGACTTGTTGCACCCCGGATCTCTTTATGTTGGCTTGTGATCAACAAAATTGACTGGTGTCCATGAACTCTTGGGTGAATTTCCATTGGTCTGGACAGTAAACGGTAGGTGAGATGATCTCCCACACATAAGCTGGGCCACTCAAGGAAAATATCTTAGTTATAGTTTCGTTCGACTCAACACGTAACTTTTACTGTTGCAGTGTATCTGGATGAGGTACTCAACCGCTTCGCACACGTTGGCGGACAATGTTTTTCCGTTATCTTCTGTCCTTTGCTTATGGGTTTTAAAGTTCAATTGGAAGTGGGTGAACCATAGCTTACCTGCTATCGGTAATTCCGCTTGGTTCTGTTCAGCTAATTAAATGAATTCCGCACGCGAAATGCACCTATCTTTCGCCACGCGTGGACGGCCCGTTGCATTTTTCCTCATGATAATGTTTGCATTCATACCAATCAAAACAGCATACCCGGTTGCAACAACTTGTTTCGCCGGTTTGCAAATAACAGTATTCGGAATTTCCGAGGTCAGGTAGAAAAATCAATATGTACTTTTGCTCCTTGTATCGTCAATTCAAACAATGCGCACGTCCTTTTTAAATAGCGGGCAGAACGGGGGAGGGGGCGGGTACAAAACCGGGTACTTTCTCTATGCCCCCAAAATGATACAGTCTTTGTATTGCACTTTGGTATAATTATGGACCACTACGCTCCCCAATAACGCACTGATGATGTCACCTCGATCGGTGAGGAAACGTTTGCAATCTAATTGCCCAGCTCAGCAAACAAGCCAACGACCATCTACCCTACCTGAGCTACCAACATTTTCCTCCATAGAAAACTAATTTAAAACACCTTTCGGCAAATGCCGGGGAATTCCGGATTTGGGAACATATAGTTTTTGATTTTTTTTATTGTCCACTGTCTTTCACAGAAGGGCAAACTGATTATTCTTTTCAAAGAAACTTGTTTCTGTTGTGAGGCTGCTCAAGCATAGTAGCAACGGGTACAGTTGTGGTGAGTGCATAAAGAGTGCCGAAGGGTCACTCATGGACAAATTTACTAAAGTGGGATGGACGTTATTCAGGTAGCTCACTCGGTAACTATAGATCAAGCAGAGGGACATGATTGAACTTGAAAAGTTTGGCATTTATGGGTTTTGTTAAGTTATGCTCCATCACGCGTTTTGGCTGTGCCTTCAAGATTAATCGTCGAGGTTTGGCCAACTTTGTGAAAGCCGGTAAGTCAATTCAATATGAATCCGGACCTATCTTCCTCGCGTCCAAAGTTTCCGAGGGTAACGCGCGTGACCTTAGAGTTTGACTGGTTTCGGACTCGCGACGAATCACAACAAGTACGGTGTGCCGTGTTAATTCCGCTCAATCAAGGAGGAAATCCTTAAAGACCAGGCGGACTCCAAGAAGGTGAATGTGTTCAGCTTCGACTTGTCTATTCTCACCTGCTGCAACCACATAGCGTTGCATGTTCCATGTTATCGCCTGACGTAATCCGTTTCCACATATTACCTTTCCTCCGAACACATCCAATCATGTCCCTTCATATACAGTGGCTGGGCACTGTGTTGATTCACACTCAACTTAGATTGGCCATTTTTATTTACCCAATCCTAGTGCTTTGTTATACGTGGTATCTTGACTTCGAATTGATCATGTCCGCACTATGCATATTTTCCTGTTCGGTTTTTGTCCATATCAGCCTCCTACACCGGTTCCAGTTCAGAGGACGAAGAAGACAGTCCTCAACGTGAAAATCCTCGCGAACGGTGGTTAAAGCCAGCTAGTAGGCCGGTAAGAATTGCTATGGTTGCTTTGGCTTTGCCTAACTCTCTACTGCCTTTTTTACTTTTGCTGTTTTCTCCTGCTTTCGAATGCTGATAGACTCTTTGGACTCACATGGTATAGGTGTGTGGTCTTTTGCTCAGTCGTGATTCGTGAAGACGTGGTCGCTTGTTTTGCACTCTCTGTGGCTCAACTGCTCTGCTTGTGGTGAAGTTGAAACCTTGGAACAACAACAACAACTGATTGGGGATCACGTTTCCAGGAGCCTAAGCCATTTAGTTGCCTTGTTGCTAGTTGGCTCGCCTTGCAATGAATAGATTACGGGAGATCGCTGGTAAGATTGAAGGATCCACATATAGCACCCAGTTTATGGACAGGCAATTCCAGCGTTTTTGGGAAATGCTAGATGCCTCTAGGATCCTCAATACGCAGCAAAATGCCAGTCGACCGAATTCCTCGTAGAGTTCTTTTCGCACAACCACGTGAATGGTGGAAACGAGCTAGGGGAAGTCAAACACTGACTTGGTAGCGAAGTATGAAAGCTATTACCGGCGAAATCAGGTGCGCTGTTCACCACCGTCTTCCTGGATGGGAAACCCGAGACAGGGCACATAAATGGTTAGGGATACTGTCAGATATGACCCAGTCGCACCCTATCTGGCGCTCATGCATCCAAGCGATTGCCTTAAATGCATAACTCCTTTCCCAACCTCCCCATTTAACCGTTCCGTATTTACTCACCAATTTATCAACTCCCGCCTCCAATGCGCAGCTACCTACCCCACCTCACGAAATCATCGGTGAACGAAACTGTGACAGCTACAACCACTGTACGACAAGTACACGATTCTTACACCTGATGATGATGATGGTGACGATGAGCACAATACTTCATTTAATCTATCGTACTAACAAGACGTAAGCGAGTTGGACCGGAAGGTCCGTGGTTCGAACCCATCCTCTGCCTCTCGATTTCCCCTGTTTGGGTTTGGGCAACCTGGCAGTATCCCAGCCCTCGTGCCTCCTTCGTGTGGCACGGCAGCTGGGCACAGGAAGGGTGCTACAGCTGAACGATTGTTTTAACTTTTTTATCCAACTGTGCGAAGAAAGTGCACCATGTCTACAGAACGGCGTGACGAAGAAGTGTTGCGTTTCTCGTAGGTTCTGCGTTTAACAGTGCCTAGTCTTTTATTCGACCCCTCTTATATATCTTAACCGCAATCAGTAATTTGCTCCACACTGGATTTTTCTGTCGCTAGCTATCACGTTGCACACTAATTGAGCCACATTCCACTTACCAAGGTCAGTGTCGTAGTGCGGGACAACAGACGTAGCTTCAAAACCGAATATCATTTTTGGTCGATTTGTAATATCAGACAACCACCAACCAATCAGGTGCCAAATGTTCGATAATATAATTTGGTCACTGGTGTTTTATTTTGGTTATTCTTGGACCGTCACTAGCAGATTAATTTACAAAGTAGTATATCTCCATCCACAGTCAATTTGATTTTGAAGTATGGGATAGTGTTGATAGAAGTTCAGAGACTGGTGAGCCCCAATTTGGGTGAAATATATGAAGTGTCCAGAGTTTTAATCGACTTCATGCAAAGGAGAACGGTCATATGGCTTTGTCGCTTGTTATGTGTTGGGGTGTTGGAACCGAGTCCCTGGAAGGTCGGCGGATAACACCGCACCAAACATCCGGGTTCGAATCCATGCATGGGCTTCTTTAAATGAGCTGTCATCCTACGTCTTCAAGCGTTGTACGCATGTTGTTTCCCCAGTAAGGGTGTGAATAATACTTTTCCTATCCTGATGGGGCATGAAAGAGTTTTTGTGAAGGGTTCCTGCTACAGTCCCAATTTTGTTGATATATCTTATTCGACCTACTTTGGATAAGGTTTCGCTCACGACCGGTCTTCGATTTTCGTGTAGAACGTGCCACATCACTTTATTCTCGTCTTTCCCCCTGACAACAGTTTTTTTATCCAACTGTGCGAAGAAAGTGCACCATGTCTACAGAACGGCGTGACGAAGAAGTGTTGCGTTTCTCGTAGGTTCTGCGTTTAACAGTGCCTAGTCTTTTATTCGACCCCTCTTATATATCTTAACCGCAATCAGTAATTTGCTCCACACTGGATTTTTCTGTCGCTAGCTATCACGTTGCACACTAATTGAGCCACATTCCACTTACCAAGGTCAGTGTCGTAGTGCGGGACAACAGACGTAGCTTCAAAACCGAATATCATTTTTGGTCGATTTGTAATATCAGACAACCACCAACCAATCAGGTGCCAAATGTTCGATAATATAATTTGGTCACTGGTGTTTTATTTTGGTTATTCTTGGACCGTCACTAGCAGATTAATTTACAAAGTAGTATATCTCCATCCACAGTCAATTTGATTTTGAAGTATGGGATAGTGTTGATAGAAGTTCAGAGACTGGTGAGCCCCAATTTGGGTGAAATATATGAAGTGTCCAGAGTTTTAATCGACTTCATGCAAAGGAGAACGGTCATATGGCTTTGTCGCTTGTTATGTGTTGGGGTGTTGGAACCGAGTCCCTGGAAGGTCGGCGGATAACACCGCACCAAACATCCGGGTTCGAATCCATGCATGGGCTTCTTTAAATGAGCTGTCATCCTACGTCTTCAAGCGTTGTACGCATGTTGTTTCCCCAGTAAGGGTGTGAATAATACTTTTCCTATCCTGATGGGGCATGAAAGAGTTTTTGTGAAGGGTTCCTGCTACAGTCCCAATTTTGTTGATATATCTTATTCGACCTACTTTGGATAAGGTTTCGCTCACGACCGGTCTTCGATTTTCGTGTAGAACGTGCCACATCACTTTATTCTCGTCTTTCCCCCTGACAACAGTTATGAGGACCTGGGTGTACAGAACCTTGCTGGTTAGAAGCCGTCTTTGCGATGTGTACCAAGTCCATCGCAGTTGTTTCGACCGCCTGGTTTGACTCGTCTTTGCGTTAATCTGTCTCTACACTCCGTCTCTAGTCAGCTTGCAACGCAGAACGAAGTGTACATTCGGTGCTTGAACACTGGCTATTACATGCAAAGCTATGGTTCACCGTTCCTTACTACCTACTCCAACCAACAATCGGCTGACCCGAACTGGCATAGCGAAAATTGAGTTGCAAGCTTGCAGTGTTTATTTTTCTGATCATATCAGAATAGCCTTGTGCACTCCCGTTATCGGAATATGACACGGCTAACAAGGTGTGTCCTGGTGACCGATTTTCTGACGTGCGAAGCCATCCGCACTGCCGATATCTGTGATTTATTCGAATCGATGGCGGGGCAGTTGGTGCTTGGAAGGCGCGAATGACTTCCCGCCCACACAATAATGAACGCCTTGCAACAACATAAAACTGGAGTCACCGCCTGAAGGGTTTGACCAAAAGTGGTCCCCTCTGACGAATGTTCTCTCGGAAGTCTCACATTCCGTCTTTATATATGGTGCTGGAACGGGTTTCAGTAGCCTTTACACTCGCATAGTAGAGCCTATCTCATTTCACTGATGGAACTACGGTTGTATCTCTACATGGTGTTCTTCACTCAATACCACTTTTTCATGATAGTCATTTTCCAGTTTCATGGAGTTGACCTTCAGGTAGAACCCAGTTCCTAATACAGCACATCCCAGTTATGAAGAAACGACTTACAGCGTTGCTGAAGACTCTTGGACAGCCCACAACGGGTTTCGCCTTTCTTGTGGCTCACCAGGGGGCACACTCCCCGGGTTCCCGTCAACAGTATGCCCTTTCGAACCCAAATTGTAGGAAATTAGGGAAATACTCATTTCCACACCAGTTTGGTGTTCACGTGAGACTTAACCGAATCTCTTGTTTGTAGTTGACGGAAACTCATGATTGTGCTTATCTAATAAACTCCAAGGAAGGTGAAACCGGTCGTGTGCTGTTCAGGAGTTTTAAGCAACCGTGTGAGTAGTTTCATTCGGGAAAATACACCGCGACTTCTCGAAAACCGTTCCAGCTTAAACATGAGGTGACCTGTGTGCAACACATTGAGTTGAAGAACATCATAAACCGAAGGTTCAACAAGGATTCATTTGAATCTCCTGTTAACACCGAATCGGTTAGCAAATGAGTTCATTTCGCCGAAACACCCGACTGTTTTCCTGCATACGTTTGCCCATCATACTTTAACAGTAGCTCTGTGCGCAATGGCTGTTTCGCATGTGTCCTCTCTCAGGATCGCTTGTTTTAAATAGTTGGAGGTCGAAATTTGACTGACTTCATCTTCCCTAGCCAGTGTCTGTCAGCCGTTCATGGCACTAACATGCCGGTATTGTCGTTCGACTTCTAACGTTTCTGTTAATCATCTCTTTGTGAAAGACAGCTGACTTGATATATATGAATGTATATAATGGGTATATGATAGTCTGTTTTTTGGCCTCTGGACTCTGATAATGTGACACATTTACCTATCTTCTGGGTCTCATCGCAAAAATAGGGAACCGGATAGTTGTTGGTTCGTTCTCATCAGTCACTATTCCCCATTTCTACGTTCGGCATGATGACGCAAGTTGTGGCTGTTCCACAGGTCAGCTCACGAGGGATAGCCCACAAAATCTTCCCAGATTTACTTGAAGCGATATATTTATCGGAGAGATAAAGCACCCCTTTCATTTGATAAAAGGTGCCTCGTAACACACCGCATCATTGAACCTAACTTGTGGGTAACTTGACAAGGTGCCCAAGATCCTTCAGTCCAATCTAATAAACTGTGATTCGGAAAACTAACAGTTAGCTTAGTTGCCACTGAGTCAGTGGGTGCGGTTACTGAACCTGAATTTAATCCGGAATCCATGTGGATGTGCGGCTGTCAGAACTCATTGCGCAAATGAAACCTCTCTTGGTCAAACAGTTAAGTGTTCATACTACTTGTTAGGAGATAACGAGTTTGTGACTCCTCACACTACTTACACTCTCCCTTAGGTTCTAATATGATGGGTTTCCCAACTGGTACCACGCTGTTGGGAAGGCCGTCGGTGTTCGGGTGCTTTTCTCTTTGTCATACCTAGCATCTGCCAAACATCAATGGATTTGTTTGTGCTGGACGTCGAACGGACAACAAAGGGACGATTAAGTGTTGCGATGTAAATTTTTCTGCCTAAGCGGACTAGCATTGTTGTTGTTCTTTGTGATGGGCGTTACCGTAACTGCCTGATTATTAAGACTTACAAGGTGAGAACCCCACATGATGCGAAGACATTCGGTCTCTCCTCGGGATTGTGTCCTAAGGGGAAGGTTTGTGTACCAGGTCCTTGTGTTTAATTCCACGGGGAATTAGCACCCCGGATAGGCCTTTCTTGGTCGGATTAAGGCAATCGTGAATGTGTATCAGATGAGGAAATACAACTCACGAGATATTTTTTCAGGCGATGCTTTGTCCAGCATCACATGAGTCAGCTCCACTCATTTGGGATAAATCGGTTCCTGTCGATACGCCACATCACTTCAAAATTTATTTTTTGAGGTGCTAGTATATTCATACCACGAATGAGTCATACTTATAGGTAATATTTATAGGTATAAAGAGGACTTTGAGAAGGAAATAGGTGGAGGCCACCCCACACAATGACAGTTTCTGTATTCCACGGGATTGATTCACACACGAGAGCTTGATTTTATCGTTCCACTGTCTCTGTTGGTTTCTTAAAAACTGAAATTTCCAAGTATGCTGAGCTTGTAATGAGAATAGTTGTTATTTGACGGATGCTGCATTGAGTATCCTATTCTTTCTTTCTCCATCCACTTGTTTCTCACTGGCTCCGCCTATTTATCCTCAACTGTTCAACCTTTCCGATCCCCACAGACCAACTCTCGCGGTTTCAATGATTTTTGCGTTCAGAAAATACGTCGGGCTTCCTTTGGCTTGCGCGAGATTGAGATCGCGGAGCAAGGTAGGCGTCGGCCACTGTTTGTTTGATGCAGTCTTTTTTCTCCTTACGAGCCACAGGAGATGCTGTAACACAGTTTTTTTTCCAAAATCAGTCGATGGTTGGATTTCCAAAAATGATGTTTGTTTGCTTACTGCTCGATGTTCACGGGTCCACAACTAGAAAGTCGATCGATCACGGCGAATGCGGTACATTTTTTAGCCCCTTTGTCAGCTGTCATGAATTTCGACCATCTTTTACAAGTAATCAGTTACACACAATGCATACTGTTCCATTTTTCCATCTTCATTTCGTCAGAGATGCCTGCGCTTGTGAATTTGAGAAAGCGTGCCAAAGATGATCAGCCATTGAAAGGTGCTCAGATTTTGGGGTGCACTCATGTGACTGCGCACACTGCGGTAAGTTGTGTGCATCGAATTTCCACAATCTATTGTCTTAGGTGGCTTAATGAGACAGTGTATGGTGTCTAAGTTTCAGGTGAACGAATTAAAACGTCATTTTTCAGTTCCGCACTTGTCTACTACTTTGCAACGCCCATATTTTGTCATACGGATAGCTTTTCAAATCATCTGTTCAGAAAAAGACGTTCTATCTAGGCGTCGCATTTTCCCAAGCTCTTCCTTCTACTCGCATTTGCATATCGCTTCTGCGAGTGCTAAAACCCTGTACCTATCGGGTATATGGTAGGGACGTTTCTCTAGTTTCACCTTCATCGTCACGAAGAGACTGGACCTTACCGCGGTGTGACGGTTTGCGCACCT